TGTCAATTATAACATCAAGCTGAAACAGACGTATCAATCTTGAAACACTCCTACAGAACATTTGCACATCTTATAAATATATACTTAAACATGTAGATCAAAGCCATGTAAGTAATCATTTAACTATATACAAATCTCATCACAATAGAACTGCTATAAAATACACAAAACTGTACATTTAATTAAAATAATTAACACCAGGGTTATGCAGAATATTTGATTAGAAAATTTAATTGAAGTTCATTAAGATATTTAATAAACCATTTAAATCCCAAACAAATACCCTCCCTCAAAAAAAAAAGAAATTTTTTTAACATTGATTTGTGTGATATCTTTACATCAGTTACTGAAGTTGTTACATAATAAGTTAATACCACCTGCCAAAAAACCCAAACTGTCTGTTATGTAGAAAATTGTTTCTTATTTTCCTGACAAGGTATTTAGTGTTCATAAGATGCACCATATGTAAAATGAAGCTGAAATATTGAAACACTACCACAAAAGAATGGCCCAGAAGAAGGGAGAGGCTGATGGACCAACCATTTCTACTGGTAAATAAACATAATTGAAGGATGACAGGAATGGGGTAAGAAAAAGGCTATGATCAGAGCATCCAGCCCTGCAGGCAATGGATGGGACAAATCCTACATGTGAAGATGAAGGGACACCACCACTGGGTGAAAGACAAACAAGGCTGGAGCAAGAGTGTGTGGAAATGAGGCATAGGAATAGGATGACAGGAATGTCAATCAATAAAGCAAATGAAATCAGGGATTTGACAGCCAAAGAGGTGCCACCAACATATTAAACAGAAAAAGGTAAGAGTGTCACTTGCCAGGGCCGAAGAATGATGAACTGGGAACCCAAAGAGGGGAAGTCTGGTGTTAAGAGTGGCAAAAGCATTGATGAGAGGCATACTGAACTGAGCAAACCCAATGAAAAACCTGAGGGTAAAGAGACCACTCCATGGTTAGAGCCCTGTCCAGTTAAGAGAGGTGATCCATTAACAAGTTCAGAGCTCCTGGCACATGACAACCCGTGAGAAGAACCCAATGGGAATAAGCCCAAAATAGTAGGTACAATGCAAGGAAGTAGAGTCCTGGAATGGTACCCTCCTGATAGTTGGAGTGGATCATGATCAACTGATCCATGAGAAGAGGGAGGAAATGGGGAAATGCCTGATGGACGGCAAAAAGTTCAAGGAAGATGATGTGCAGTAAACTCTCTTCCAGAACCTACATGCCCAAAGTTATATAGTCATTCAGAGATGCTTCTTCCCAAGCCTAACAGAGGCATCAGTGAAGGGATGAAGATGCAGTCAGAGGCAGCAAGGGGGTGCCCACCATGGTGTTAGTATAGTTAAGACCAAGACAAATCCCCAAGAAGAGGAGAAGAGAGGGGCACACTCAAAGAAAACAGATCCTGAGAAAGATGCCACTGGTCCAACAATTTAAACTGGAAGAGGCACATGTTTGTGCAGCCTAAATGAACGAGTAATATAAAGGAAGCCAGAGTTCCAAAAAGCAAAAGAAACTCATGTTCAGGATGTGAAAGAGAAGCATAAGTCTAGATGAGAATATATTCCATTGTTTGTAAACAAAGTGGAGATGGTTGAGCCTGACTGAGATGGGAGTGGAAGAACACATTCAGATGTACCAAATGTCAAGTGAAAATAAGAAAAGCCTCCAGTAGAAGAATGCATGTGTGAGAGAAGGAGTTCACTCAAGAATGGGGAAGGAGAAGCTAATCATCCATGTAATAATGGAACCTCAGCACTAATCTATGAACAAGGTGGATGACAACCTTCATGACTCAAATAAAGTCATACAGAGCAGACACAATACGAAAAGGAACTGGAATATCTTATTTCAATGGATGAAACATGAAAATGTCTGGAGAACAGGGTGATCAGAATGTGTAAAAAGGTGTCTGAAATGTCAACCTCAGTCATCCAAAGTCAAGGTGAAAAGAACCACCAGAGAATAAAGAAATCTTTCATATGGAACCAACAGATAAAAAGAAACCACATGAGAGGAGACAGATTGATAACCAGTCTCCAATCTTCCTAGAGATCACAAAAATAAGAGTAATAACCAAGTTTAGGGGTAACTACCCTTTTGTTGGCATTCTTGGCCAAGAGACCCGAGATCATGTCCTGAAGACATTGAGGATAATTGGGAACAAAGGGATGAGGAATGAGAGCCTGGTCATTAGGGCACTTGACTCACAATCTAAGTGTTGTGAGTTTGAATCCCTATCACCAAACATGCTTATCCTATATGATTACTATTTGGGCTGGCCACCCAAGTGTGAAAATTCTTGGCTTATAAAAATACCAGTCGACACCAAAGTACTTGGGATAAAGGTTGTTACAGAGCAGAATAAGAGGAAGTAGGAAAGGAAAAGGGGAGAGGTGAAGAGGAATGTAAAGACAGGTTGTGGGTGACAACCTGAAGAACCTACCTGTTGGAAAAATAGAGATCAAAGGCTGGCGAAGAAAAACAGATGGGCTTCCACAGGGCCAGACCTAACAAGAAGAGTGATGACCTTAACATCAGGATGGGAAATAGAAGAAGACCAGAAACAGAATGGGGAGGTTGAGAAAGACAGGAACCCATAGTAATCAAGGAAGACTGATGTCAGACTGCCTCAACCCAGGTTTCCAGTGAGTCAGGAACACCCCCCAAAGACCTCAAGGTGAAGAAATTGAGCCCAATAAAGATCATGAAGATAAACATGAGTGAGGCATACATTAGCTAGGAGAGAATCCTGTTCCCAAAAGTCTCAACAGCAGAAGAACTAAATAAGGAGTAATAGCTAAGAAGAAGTATGGGCCGATGTGATAAAAAGAGAACAAACCTCTCCATAAAACCCTCCTAAGCACCATGAAGTGTCTCAGACATAAAGAGAAGTGATAAGAGGTAACGCAGGAGGGTGGCCAGAAAGAGACAAAGGCATGAAAATTGGACACTAAAACAGGAAATAAAAGTTAATAGGTCCACCCCCCAAACAGGTAAAAGAAATTCCACAGACTTAGAATTGAGGAATGGAAATGAAGAATGGCAGTAAGCTAGGACAAAAGTAACAAGTAGACAGGGAGGATGAGGCATGTTAGTATGGGTGTGCGGGTGTTTGAGAAACAAGTCTGCATAGATGCTGTCAGGCAAAGGAGTAAAGGAAGACAAAGTATTCTCGAGGAAAATAATGAAGTTATTTCAAGAGCAAGTATTTAAGGGGAGTGTTACCCTCTTATTGGTGTAGGGCTATTGTCATATGATGATGTCATCATGCACCAGTGCAGTTCACATTAAACACGTGATTTTTAGGTGCGAGATAGCTCAAGTATAGTGGCATGCTAATCTCATAGACAAGCACATGAGGGATCAAGCTATTCTTTGTGTGGAGGTACCATCTCGAAATTTAAAGTTTTACTTTTTCTCAGAAAGATGTCCAAGTACACCTTTGAAGGGCCACATAATTTATTGTTGTCTGGGATATTATTTCATAACAGTGATTTTGTTTAGTCATACATACAGAAACACATATAATGATGTTATGTATGTAAAATATATATATATTATATGTATTAATTTCAGGTTAACTGTAATACTTGGGAGTGTTACAAACAAAATAAACTTGACACACTGTATGCCAGTGTGTATGATATAAAACTTTTTCAAATGTTTAATGTTGTTACCACTAGATACAAATTTACAACAGGTATATAATAATGTATACCTTAAGCATGTATGGAGAGAAAGCATTTTCTATGTTACACCATTTATCATGCAAGAAGTTACTAACACAGATAATATTCTACCAAATTTTTTACAATTTCCAAATTAATCAAATACTTCTCAGGATTATTTAAACGAATGTCACAGCAATATAGCTGATTGAATTTCAAAGGTGATATTGACAAAATAATACAACAATTTACAAAAGTTCACAAATTCATTCAATAAAATATCAAAATAGATTTTGATAAGTGTATGCTGTATGACAAGTGCACACAAAACAAAACAAAATTAATTGTGTGGTTTAATTTTAAATATACTTACCCAAGCACCAAAATCAGAAACTTGGTTAAATTTTCTGGCTGCCCATCCATCAATTCCTAGAGTAAATATGTTTCAAACAAAACATATAGATTATTAAAAGGTAAGTCCAAATGTGAAAAATATAACATTCTGACATGAAGGTATTTTAATTTAATTTTTGTTCTAGTTTGTTTAATTCTTCAGACAGCAGCTTGATTTATACATGTACCTATCCTCTCATATAATGTAATTATTCCTCTCAAACAATCAGTTGTTATTCAACTACATCAATTTTTTTAAATACTAAAATGTTTTTACATTATGCATGTCTTTTTAATTATATTTCTCGTGTTGAAAATGTACTGCGTCAAATTTTTTCATAAGGTGGTAGCAGGAAGTCCTTCAATGCAATCAATGGTGTGAAAAAAATCAGCAGTTATGAGTTATCATATGGAATGATGATGGTTTCAATAAACACACAGTTCACTTTTAAATATTACTCATTGCTAACCACCTTATCTTCTACAGCCATTTGGTATACCTTATGAATAAGTTCTTTTCCCAGTACATACTCTTTCAAACAATAATATTAATGCCATAATTCACTATCAAATGCTTTTATTGACATACAAAAACCATTAATGAGGTTACAAGACAAAAGCTGCTACTCTACTATTTAGCTCTTTCCATACAAATACACATCATGACCTTTTACACTGTTACAAAAGAAAATTTTAAAAATCTCAATCTTCATTTTTTGTCATATTAATGTCTGAGCTCCAATTTATCTACTTCAAAATTTTCTAACTAGGCTACCGCAGTTTCTAATCAATTACAAATACAAACTATACATAATTATAAGCAAGAATCTAAAATGTGAACTTTCTGCTCTCTTGATTTGCTGAGATATCAATGTATTTTTAAACCCACCAGAGAAGCCTAGCTTTTAAGACTGTTTGGTAATCAACCTTACATGATTGAAGGATTTCTGACCAATAACCAACAGAAACTTGTAATTTTGCATCCAGTTTTGCTGTCGTTAGCTGATAGTCAACGAAAATTGATTGGTTTTTGTTGAACAGATGTGGTACTCCAAACAGTATCAGAATGATTTTAATATTTATAGCTTATTAAGAAAGTCAGATAAATTATGGTAGTTTTTTTCATAGTGACTGAAAATTTTGTGTGCTGTAATATATATACTTTTGTAAGTTAAATGAGTTTTTTTGGACACAAATTTATGAGACATCAACTCAGGAGAGAATAACCACAGAGCATTCATTCAAATACTACCAAGACTCTTCACAAATAACTACTGCTGAAGTATTACGTAAAATTAGTATCTCTCACATATATAAACTCTAGGGTATAACACGAATGGAAATTGACAAAAGTTTAACTTTGAGATATAGTAGAAAGAAACAAAATTTTCAGGAGTTTTATAATCTAGTCAAAGTTCAAACTGTCAAAAATAAAGATAATATATAAAATATCTTTCTCCTGTGGTCAGGTCTACATAAGTAATAATGGCATGCAGACATCTGGAACATGGATGAGTACAAGAAATTTAATTAGTCAACCAATAACAGTGTTATGACAGTGGAAGTCACGTGAAGCTGGTTTCTCTAATGATCATGAATTTCCTAGTGCATTCGGGACGCTTCCTTTTCTAGTATACAAGCCTGGCAGATAAAGCCTGCGGGATGATTGATTGAAGAGATATAGACATAGATTGAAGAGATAGATAATTGAGTCAAGGGAACAGTAGGCA